ATTTTATTAACATTTAATTTAATTTTTTATTAACAATTATATATAAATATTAATATACAATATATAAATATTTATTAATTATAATATATATTATTATTTATTTGTAAAATTATAATATATTCATTTATTGTTTTATTAATGTGAATATCATATTTATGTATATACTTATCTGTAATATTTAATATATTATATTAAACAAAATTAATTTCTATAGCTCTATTCCTATAGTTTCACAATTATATAAGTACTCATATATACATATTATAAACAGATTTTATTATTAACAAATATTTTCTTTTTATAGACAAAATTATAATAAATATATTTTGTATTCTTTTAAAAGTTTCCAACTTTTTGGTATTTTATTGTTTATAATTTGATTGTTTATTTATCCACAAGATGCTATGTTTTTTTTGTTTTAAGTAGATTTTTCTTATTGTTGCAATTTAATTCAAACTGTTTGATTTAAATTATTCGGTTTAAAATCATTCCATCTACAAGATTATATGCAAATAAATAAAATTATTTAAAAAATATATAATAGTTTAAATTATTGCACTCACTCTTTTGAGGTATAACATGTACTTGGTTGAAGATGATCCACTATTTGAGCTTGATAAATCTGTTTTGGCGCTAAAATATCTTGTCGTACATGTCCTGATTCTGCCATTTCGTCTCTTATCTTTTGAAAAAATATATTTATAAAAAATAATTATATTTTCACATATTTTAATGCTGAAAATTATATTTTAACTAAACATTTATATTTATATTTGACATACTTTTTCCGCTGCTTTTAATACACGGATTAAATTCTTTCCAGCTAATTTCTCCATTTCATCTTTGGTCCAATTTGAATCACTATCGTAGATGCGATCAAATAACTCTGAATATTTAGAAACGTCTTCTAAACCTTCTGGCATTCTAAAATACGTTATAATTTATTTTATATTTATATTAAATTTGACAATTCGCAGTGAGACTTACGTATTTACTCCATCGTAATCTGCACCAATACCAATATGATTCGGTCCGATAAGATTGCGAATATAATTGATATGGTCTAAAAAAAAAAAAATGGATGATTATTTATGATAAAAATTCTATATACTTTTCTTAAGTATCTTTTCTTAATTTTCTTATCTTAAATAATAAAATATAAAACTGAACTTTCGATAATATATACCTATAACATCTTGCATAGTCGCTTTTCTCGAGGTATTACAATTTACAAATTCCGAGTAAAAATTCACCATTACGATACCATTATTTCTTTTCTGAAAATTATATGCTTTATTTATGGGATATTCAGAAAATATTGAAAAAATTTACTTACAACTGTGTATAGAACATCGTCAGGAACATTACGATTATTGCGACAAAGGGTAAAGGCGGATGAATGAGAAAAAATAATAGGTGCTTTCGATATTGCAAGCACTTCTCTCATAACATTGTGAGACACGTGTGATAAATCGATTAACATTCCTAATCGGTTCATTTCATAAACTACAGCCTATTATTAAAATATGAAATTTGTAAATTTTTTATGAATATATATACAGCAACAAATTAAAAAAATTTAATGTACTCTTCCGAAATCTGTAAGATTGTTGATACCACTAGTGGTCACTGTTGATGCATCGGCCCTTCAATAAAAGAAAATATTTAATAATGTTTATATTTTTACCTTTCTTTTATTAAATAAAATTACGAAATATTTCTTATTTATTATTATAAACAATAAAACAATTATTTCTTTATTATTTTCTATTCTATTAATATAATATAAATTTTTATTTTTTTCATAAGAAATTTGATTTTTATAAATTGAATACTTTAAGAGATCTAACTATTAAAATATTAAAATATTTCAAATAAAAATTTATCATACCACGGAGTATTACACATATGCGTTAGTGTCATATATCGCACACCAAGATCATAATAGAGTCGGAGTACTGCTAAACTGGAATCAATGGAATGGCCACCTTCAACGCCGATCATGGAGGCAATTTTTTTGTCGTTCCATGCATCTGTGATTTCTTCAGCTTTCGTTACGAATTGCAAATCATTCGGATATTTACGAATTAATCTCTTAATAACATCAATTTGTCTCAAGGTTAATGAAACTGCATCCTTATATTGCGAAGAGCAATCAACATATGCGGCCCAGAACTGAAATTTAAATTTATTATTAATCGAATTAAAAAAAATATGTTAAATTTTAACACAAAATATACTGCAGTAAATTTCTATTTTTTTTTTTTAACTTTATAGTTAAATTAATTTTTTATATCTTTATAATACTATCTTTATAATACTAGAATATGTTTTTATTAAAATAATAATGTTTTCATTAAAAGATATGATTCAATAATAATCTTTTCTAATCATTGAATCATAGTTATTGAGCAATGAATCATATTTCCATAAAAGTATGTGATATAATGTAATTGTGTATTTGTGTAATTATATAGAATGTTAAATCTTAAAATTCGTGATTCAAACATATATTCTATTAATAAAATAACTAATTTTTAAATATCATTAAAACATTCGCTATTATATATCAATTTCAAAATTTTTTGCAAAAATGTAATAATTAATGATAATAATAATATTAATAAATTACGATAACAAAAAGATTCAACAAATTTTAAATTTCTAAGAAAAGCAAAATAGATAAATAATTGTATAAAATAGTATAAAACATGAAATATCACATTAATATTTACTGCAATAATAAAACAATCTTCAATATCAAATCTAAAATGATAACAATTTTTAATAACAATAATCAATTAATTTTTACAACGCATATGAAGGAATAGAAATTCTAATGATAACCTATCTTTTTCATTTGTTGCTTTCTCACTCACTTGTGCACCCACTTTTCCTTTTCTTAACCGGGGCAAGTCTGTGGTGCATGAGACACATACATGTTTACCCCATAATTTGTCGTCAGATAAATTCTTGGTAAAATCAAATTGATCTAAGTTATTGCCTAACAATCTATATAAATTGTAAGGTAAATCATTGTGACTGAAATGAAAAAAATAAAAGTTACTATCTATTTTATATTATTATACATTTCATATAATTATATATAATATGAGAAATTATAATCAGAAATAAAATTTTTAATCTATCTTATTTTTATTATCTATTTTTTAATCTAAATTAATATTTGTAATCAATATATGTACTATTAAATTATATATATTCGTGTAAAGAAAATAAAAATTTTTCATCGTTTTATATTATTCAATCGAAATTTATAAAAAAATCTATAAAGAAAGAAAAAAAAAAGAAGAGAAAATATGAAATATGAAATATAAATAATTACAAAATACTATAAATTTCTAGATTAATTGAAAAAATTGATTGTCACTCCTAATTATAAGTTATTTATGAATTATATTCAAAGAAAATTCGCAATATATATTTTTTTTAATTGCATAGTTTACGATTAAATTATCGAATTATGATTAACAAATATCGTACATGATTATATGCATGAATTTCCATCTTATTCTACTGAGATTCCGTTATTTTCTTTATTATTTTTAATGAAGAAAAATTCTTGTAATAAAATCTTTGTCAAAGTATGTAAATATTAAATTGATGAAACTGTAGAAAAATATTTTGAAATTTTGACATAATTTATATATTTTTGTTAATTAATTTTTTATGATTAGTATCAGAATAAATATATTTCGAATTAAAAGAAAAATAATATTACAAATTTTATAAAATGATAAAATAAATTTAAAAAGAAAAAATTATTCTATGACAATATTTAAATAATTATTTAAAAAAATAATTATTTAAAAATCATATTATATTTTACCTCATACTAAATAGATATTGCAATTATATTCTTTTGAAGAGGAATAATTTATCTTAAGTAAATATTCATAATTTTTATAGTATTTATATTTATTATATTTTTTATTACTATATATATCTTCTTTTTTAATATTTTTTTATGATTTTATGATTATTTTTATAACAATT